ATGAAACTCTTTAAACCAAACCACCAGACTTGCTTTTTAAAAAAAGATATTTTTAAGATATCTTAATTTATGTTAGTTCAATGTAAAAACATGTTTAAAGAACCAAATCTACCAAGATACCAACACATGCATAGCTCTTATGTGCTCCAAATACAGGAGAATGTATTTGGGGTTGTTTTGATAAAGGCCTAATGGGCTTGGAGCCCCTCCCTGCCATCCCCAATTACTTTTTCCCCACTGGAGATGCCATTTTCTCATTCCCAGGGCCTCAGAGCGTTTCAAAAGCTTGGAGACTATCTTCTTGGAGGCAGTGTATATACTCATGCATGTGTTCCTATGTGCTGGGAGCAGGGCATGGAGTGTTGTCTGAGAAAGCAGGCAAATGAGAGAACAAGAATAGGCCCCTCCCCTTACAGCTCATCTGCTTTCTTCTTTCTGTACTGTTTGTTTAGAGGGGAAAAAAAGAGCGCCCTATTCCTCAATGTTCCCCTCCACACACTTTCAATGAGCACTATTTTCACTTCTTATTGACTGATCAGTAAACCCAACGGTAGGTCTTGTCTGGTCCCAGAGATAAAGAACTGCATGCATAACTGGTCTTTATCCAGCCAAACAAGCTCGGTTGCTCTTTGTTTTTCACAGTGTTTCTGAGAGATAAGAGGAAACCACCCAGACATGATGCGTGACTGGGGAGGTTTTGAAATATTTTATAAACTCATTCTCTATTCTGAGCTGTGGATTAGGAATGAAAAGAATGGGAGAATGTACCACGTATAACCTAAATTGATTTTTTAAAAAATCTGGGTTAAAACTCAGCAGGTGAGTGTGGCACGCACGCATACACACACACACACACACACGCACACACACACACACACACACACACACACACACGGGTTGGGGCATATAAATAAATGTTCAACTGAGGAAAGATTAGTTGATTTTCAATTATTGGCACAGGAGTCAAATAGGGAGAATTTTAGTAATTCAAATGAGTATATACCCTGAAAATTCAGTGACCTTTTCCTGTCACAAGAACTGCCTCTTTCACATGGATTCAGCACCAGTATTGGCAGACAGGACCCAAGTTCAAAGAGCCAGATATATTCCCAGGAAAATGGGGAATGGGACCAGGTTCGAGTCCTGTTACGTTCATGCCCTTCAAGGCTCTTAGCAGGTTTCTGAGTGAACCAGGATAGAGGGGTTGATAGGAGACTGACGATGCCACATATTAAGTAGGGTAAGACTAAATGTAAGATCAGTTGGTACTGATGAAGGAGAAATTTGCTATTCAACTAAGGAAAGACCCAAAGCTGAGTCCCGAAAGAATGGTGGGAATGCAGGAAAGGTAGGGTGTTTCCGAATTTTAGGCAGAAAGGAGGAGTAAACCTGAGAGATAAAATGGGTAGCTAATAAAGGGAAAATTTAAGTCAAAAGCCACAACATAATTGTTTCTGAGCAAACAGATGGAAACTGAGGAGATAGTAAAGTCTTGTAGTCAAGTCTTCGTGAAGCTGAGCAGTGCTTCATTGTCTGCATGCCTTACTCAGCATTACTGTTTCTTTCCCCTAGACCAGGGATCGGCAAACTTTTGAAACGGAAGAGCCATCAGGGGTCAGCAAACTGCGGCTCTTTAGCATGTGGTTCTGAAGTAAAATTGAAAAAGAAAAAATAAGACTATCATAGTTTCTTTATAAAATTTTTAAAGGATATTATTCACATAATGGTAACTATGTAAAAATATATTTATGGCTCTCGAATAATTTTTAAATTGTTGTAAGGGACAGGATTGGCTCTTCCAGGGGTTGGCAAACTTTTGAGATGGAACGTACCCAAAGAGCCGCATGTGGCTCGCAAGCTGCAGTTTGCCAACCCCTGCTCTAGACTCATGAACTTTAATTGCTTTATTGTAGACTTTTGTCTATGTCTCATGTCCAGTGTTGGATAGTAAGTTCCCTGTAGGGAAAAAAAATGTGTCCCAGGCTTTCTAGAATTTCCCCTACCATACCTAGTACAGGGCTCAGTAAATGTTAATTGGCAGAATTCATTAATAAACAGCTTCCTCTTTATGTAATTATTTTTCAAAATTAGATGCCAGATTTGAGGAGGTCAAAACCCGGATTGTATTTTACCCTTCTAATGTTGGGTAAATCAAAGGAGCAAGTTATGAGTTAAGTCATTAGTACTTTATTTCTAAAGGAATTGGTGAATTTAATGGCAGATATCAGGTAGGAAAATTTGATGTCTTAGGGGAGAGGCCAAAATCCAATGGACTTTTCTCCTTGATCCCAGACGCATTCAGCTGGGCCAAGGCTGAACTTTAGGTGTGTGTGTGTGTGTGTGTGTGTGTGTGTGTGTGTGTGTGTGTGTTTACTCTAACTAGTACTTTTCTTGTGCAGGCCTGCCTTTCTGGAAATTGGACTTCATGGGAGCAAAGGTCTTGTCTATCTTCTTTACTATTGTATTTCCAGCATCTAGAGCAGCCTTTCCTTGCATATAGTAGGGGCTTAAGAAACAATTGTGGAAAGAAGGGAAAGAGGGATGGAGGGAATGAGGTTAGAGAAGGGAATAAAGGAAAGAGGGAAGGAGGACTCTGTATTTCATGCCAGTAAACCTGGCACTTATTTACTCACTTATCAGTTACCAAAGGCCCTCTCAGTTTCTGTGTTAGGAACCAAGGATACCAAAATGATGAGATGCCATAGTCTTTGCCCTCAAATAATTGATCGTCTAATAGAGAGAGATGTAACAGACTAGGTTGATAAGTGCTACACCAAGGAGTCATGGTGATACAAGATCTGCAATTAAGTTTGCGAACTTGTTGCAATGACGTTGCTAAACTTTTTTGATACCAGAGGGATTATTCACTATGAATTTGTACCAACTGGAGAAACAGTGAACCAAGTTTACTATTTGGAAGTGCCGAAAAGGCTGTGTGAAAAAGTTAGACGACCTGAACTTTTCGCCAACAATTCATGGCTCTTGCATCACGACAATGCACCGGCTCACACTGCACTGTCTGTGAGGGAGTTTTTAGCCAGTAAACAAACAACTGTACTGGAACACCCTCCCTACTCCCCTGATCTGGCCCCCAATGACTTCTTTCTTTACCCGAAGATAAAGGAAATACTGAAAGGAAGACATTTTGATGACATTCAGGACATTAAGGGTAATATGACAACAGGTCTGATAGCCATTCCAGAAAAAGAGTTCCAAAATTGCTTTGAAGGGTGAACTAGGCATTGGCGTCGGTGCATAGCTTCCCAAGGGGAGTACTTTGAAGGTGACCGTAGTGATATTCAGCAGTGAGGTATATAGCAGTTTTCCTAGGATGAGGTCGCTAACTTAATTGTCTCACCTCGTACAAGAGTGTGCTAAAGGGAGCATCTAATCTGCCCAGAGGAAGAGTGAGAGGCAGAAAGCATCTCAAACCTGAGCAGAGTTGTAATAAACTCAATGATGCTTTGTAGACTTGAGAACATTTTAATCTATGTAGTTCTAAAAATGACTGTTGGTGGACTGAATAAAGTAGTGACAACTGCAAATCATTGTATTTTAGCCATTCTGTATTCAGAGTCATTTTGATATTAAAAGTTATTTTGCCTTGGTACTCATTGGACTTTGGTCTCATTCAGGGAAAGTAAATCAGTCATGTAGAAGCTTGTCATAGAATTGCGGCTTTATAAGCACCGTCTAAATGACAGAAATTAAAGGCCCATTGTCTGGGCCAGACCTACACCTAACACCTCTGTTAAGCATGATGGGTTAGAACCAGTCTTTCTTCTTTTCTGAACAATCTCTTGTCCCTGTGACAAGGATTAATGATGTAATAACTGTGAGGTGGTCTTTGCATTTTCTAAAAGCCTATAGCAGTAAAGGTGTGTATTTCCCATCAAAACAGCAACTTCTCTGAAAGGGGCCAATAAATGACAGCAGGGAGAGAATCAGTGGTTAAAAAATGGTTATAGGGCCGGCCGAGTGGCACGTTGGTTAAGAACTGGCCTGGGACACCAGAGGGCCCCGGTTCGGATCCCACATATGAGGGTCAGTGACACTGCCCTCCACAGCTAAGATGCAGAACAACAGCTCAACCTGGAGCTGGGCTGCCATGAGTCACCAGCGACGGCATAGGCTGTAGTGGGTTGCCATGGGCTACCGTGTGTAGCCAGCAGCCAGCGTGAGCGGTCAGCAGCCACAGTGAGCGGCCGTCCAGAAGCCAGCGACTGACGTGACTCTCCTTGGGAAGAGCGCAATGATGGTGCCAACTTGGGCCAGTGAAGCAACGTCCTCCACAATTAGACTGAAGAACAAAACGACAGCAACTTGTCTGTTCCCCTGCCCCCAATTCCCCAGCACTGTTCCCATCCCCCCAATTCCCTAATAAAAAAATCTTTTTAAAAAATGGTTATAGTTGGCTGAGCTTACTTACTCCTAGGAAAAGGATTTGGGGGATATGCTGATGGATGTTTTTTGTTTGTTTTGTTTTTGTTTTTAAGATTTTATTGGGGAATTGGGGGAGAAAACAGCGTTGGGGAATTGGGGAAGGGGAACGGACAAGTTGCTGTCCTTTTGTTCTTCAGTCTAGCTGTGGAGGACGTTGCTTCACTTGCCCATGTTGGTATTATCATTGCGCTCTTACCGGGTGAGGCTGATTGATCGCCGGCCATTGGACAGCCGCTCACGGTGGCTCACGGCAGCTCTCGTCCACTCACGGTAGCCCACTGCAGCCCCACTGCAGCCTACGCCGTTGGCGGCGATTCACGGCAGCCCAGCTCCACGTCAAGCTGTTGTTCACCATCTTAGCTGTAGAGGATGCAGCGTCACTGGCCCTAATGTGGGATCCGAACTGGGACCCTGCCGCTCAGAGCTGGTGTCCCAAGCCAACACCTAACCAACGCATCACTCAGCCGGCCTGCTGATGGACATTTTAAGCAAGAAAACCCATTGTCTGAGGAAAAAAGATCCTGATTTGACTTCTGTTTCTTGATTTCCTTTCTCAGGTGCTGACCCCAGCACAGATCAAATCAATTTGCCAGGCGATTCTGGACTCTGGGAAGCAGTATGCCATGAAAAAGAGGAAACCGTTTCCCCTGATGTATTCTTACTATGGAACAGAATACTTGGGTGAGTGAAGGTATTGGTGAAGGAGTCTCTAATATCAGCGTCCACTAAAGACGGGAAGATTTTGTTTTTGACATAGGTCATCACTACAGTATTCATTTAACTAGAAATACTTTAAAATGCCATTACAAAACAAGATTGATAGACATTACAATCACAATTTAATATTTGTTTTCACAGTCTGCCTAACAAATGAAGCCATTTTAACAATCACTTTCACTGAAGACTAAAATCTTTATTCTAGATTGTGAGTTCACTGGCCTAATTTTGCTGAGTTTGAACAGTTGACATGCTTATTTCAAATACTGCCTCTGCACAGGGAAACAGGATTCAGCCACTAACATTTCCAAGTTTTTAATATTAATGGATTAATAACAGATTACTGAATAACAGTGGCGACTTTTGAGCTATGAGGCTTGCAAAGTGAAAATTAGTTACTTCTCTTTTGAACCCTTATCCCTGAGCATGACTTGCAATGCCCTTTGTAGATCATCTGCCTCCTTCTCCAAACTCAAGCTCTATCTCTCCCTTTGCTGGTTCTGTCCACCATAGTCTTCTATGAGCAAAGTGTTCTCATATCTATGTAACTCTTGTGCCTGTTGCTTTTGACTAGAATGCCTGGCATCCCCCAACCCCTTCATCTAGCTGCAGTACTTACACCCAGACTTCAAGACTCTATTCAAACATCATTAGCTCTATTGAGAAACTTGGTGTTTTTGGAAAATAGGTTTACTGAACCCTCTCTGGAGAAACATTTACATACTTCAGGTTTTGCCCTGACGCACAACTGGGTCATGTCATGCACCCGGCCACGTTTCTGTTGTAGCCCTTATCACATCGTACTGTCATTAGTGGCTTACCTGTCTAACTGCCTTAGCAGGCTCTGTGCACCTTCAGAATAAGGACTTTCTCTTATCTTTGTGATCCCTGGACCTTTACCAAGACCCTGCACATAATGAGGGTACCCAAATGAATGAGTGGATGGCTGATGAACAATGAGTTTATAGACTAGCAGTTCTCTGAGAGTTTTCTCAAAGAACCTCTAAGTTCCTGTCTAAAGTTCCCTAGAATCAGACCTTGAGACAAGAATTTGGGTGAAAATGGTTTATTTGGGAGGTGAATCCCACAAAGTATTGATAGAAGTATGAGGAAGTCATACAGGGTAGACAAAGAAGTTAATAGAAGATGTGATAATGACCAACTGTGGATAACTGAGGCTCAGTTCCACTGGAGACTCTTAGAGACTGTATAGACCATGCCTCAGAATTGTCCCACCCAAGGGGTAAAGAAACTGGGGTATTCATCCCCCAACTCTCTGCTTTGATCAATAAAGAAGGGATTTAGTCGGTTTTGTTCACTGATCTATCTTCAGCACCTAGAATAGTATCTGGCTCATAGTAGGTGCTTAATTCTTATGTGCCGAATGAACGAATGTTTAGGATACCAAGAACAAGTTATTTTCAAGCACTTTAGGAACACTTTCATAAAAGCTATAGATATGTTAATTACAAAGTTTAAAAAGTATTTTCCCTAAAACAGGTTGGTTACTCAACTTTTTTCTATAAAGATACAGATAATACATACTTTAGGCTTTGTGAGCTATATGGTCTCTCACAAACACAACTCTGCCTTTGTAGTACAAAAGCAGCCATAGACAATACACAAATGAATGAGTGTGGCTGTGTTTCAATAAATCTTGATTTACAAAAAGAGGCTGTGAGCCAGATTTGGCCTGCAGGCTATGGTTTGCCAATTCCTGCTCTATCCTATGTTCCCCAGAAGCCTCGTTCTCAGGCAACTCAATTATTACATCACTATGTGTGCTTTCAAGTATTATTGCCTTTCTTTTTATTTATCCTATGGCTGTCTTTTCACTAAATTAAACTGACTCACCTCCCAATTATGTAAATTCATTATGCTTTGTTTGCCAATATAGGAGCAGCTCATGGCCTGTCGTCCATTCTCCAGATGCTTCTTTCTTACTATGAGCACCTCAAGCCCTCAGATCAGGAGCTGGTATGGCAGAGTGTGGACTTCCTCATGGAGCAGGAGCAGAACTGCAACTGGCCACCTGAGCTCGGCGAGGCCATCGAGAGAGAGAACGAGCTGGTACACTGGTGCCACGGCGCCCCAGGTCTCACACTCACCATTATCTGAAAACACTGCCTTTCATCAGGCTTAGCCAAACAGAAGTGCCTTTTCTGAGAAGTGACAGTAGTTCTCATGTCATTACTACATGAGATAAAAAGGTCAAGGTGAAACTTTTCAAAGCCAAAATGTCTTTCTTGATCTATAAAGGATCTCCAGAAATGATCCTGTATTTTTAAAAATATATGATCTACATCTATTTGTATATAAATTAAACTAACACTGTCCAATACAATATAATAGGAGCCACATATGAAATTAAATTTTAGTAGCCCATTAAAAATGTAAAAAGAAACAAGCAAAATTAGTTTAAAGAATATATATTACATAACCCAATATATCCAAAATATTATTTCAACATGTAACCAATTTAAAAATTAAGGTATTTCACTTTTTTTTCATATTAAATTTTTCACATCCAGTGTGTATTTTATACTTAAAGTACATCTCAATTCAGACTCTCCACATTGCAAGTGCTCATATAGCTGCATTGGACAGTGCAGATCTGAAGCCTGGCATTTCAAAATGTTGTCCCTGGACTAGTGGCATGGGCAGCCGAGGAGTTGATTCGAAATCCAGAATCTCAGGCCCCACCCCAGACCCACCAAATGAGAATCTGTTTTAACAAGATCCCTAGGTGATGAGTATGTGCATTAAAGGTTGAGATGGCACTGTTCTAGAATTCTTCTTCAAATGAGGATTTCTATCATCACCTAATAAAAAAGTCTAGAGAAATGAGAAGCTATCTGCAGTGAACTTTCTGGAACCAAGCCTGGAAACTTATCAGACCCAATCTTTTCCTTTTTGTTTAAATCCCATTACACTGCTAATTAGGCCTTCGGAGAAGGCGCAATTTGAAAGAAGTTTAATTCAAATAAATCAATTACTTTTGGTTGAAAGGCCAGGGAAAGATTTAAAATACCAAATAGCACAACATTTTTGGATTAAGAGGGGATTTAATTTTCCAGGCTATGCCTTAGTCCCATGAACACAGCTATAAAATACATTTGATTTCTCTTTAGTTTGTTACCTGATTTTTATTACTTCCTTCTCCCTCCTTACCTAATTAATGTTCTTTAATCCAAATATAATTTCATTTTTTTCCCTGGTCCAGTTTGAGTTGATGAATAATACAAGTCTTAGTCCCCTGGCCATCTTTTCTCTGCCTGCCACAATTTACCTAAGGAAGGGACATCAGAGGCTCCTGTGTGTACTTGTACCAGTGCCAGAACAGTGTGCATTGTGTCCAGGCTAATTCTGCCAGTTATAATTTAAGCTCACTTCTTTCTTTGAACATTTTAGAGAAAAACAACAGTTATTTACCATTCTGGAAATGAGAGCTCTTCACGTTATGGTGAGCAGTCCCATTTCCCTTTCTCTTTAATCATTTTCAGTGATGGTCTCTGGATATCCTTCAAGCACCTCAGGATCCTTGAATTTTAGAGATGTCCCAAGTTAAATAGAGAATATTTTAAAAGGACTCAGTTATACTAGTAAAAGGAAAGGAAGATAATCTACTAAAACGAGTGGGTCAATTAACTGATGTGGATATCTTGAAGAGCACTTATTCCATCATTTTGGTACCCCACCCTCCATCTGTCTTTGTAAATCAGGTACCATAACAGTACAGCACAGGATTCGTCACCTTGGGGACTTTATTATCCTCATGTATCATTCATGTTCAGTACCTTGGTAAGATTAAACATAGGTTGCAAAGTAAAATCATTCAACCCATGTACTCACTGGACTACCAAAAATAAACCAATTTACAAATGAATAAAGAGCCAAGTGGGGCCTATTATTTCTGCCAACCATCAGTCCCATCTCAAGGATATTGGTTTTCCTCTTAAGAGATGTGCTAAAAACAGCATCAAGAGTGATTAGAAATCTGATAAGGCCAGGTCAAAGACCATCAAGATTTCTCTTAGGTTGGCAACAGTGAACTCTCCAAAAATTTAAAACAGAAGAAGACCTAGAAAAATAGTTTTCATTTGTTTGAAGAAAATATTTTTTGAGAGTAGATTTATGAGCAGTGCAGATGGTTTGGGGCAGCAGACTGAATTCTGTGATTTAAAACCTGCCAGAAATAATCCACAGTGTCGAACTTCATCAGCCCTACCTTATTTCTGCCTGTAATTGTTTCCTATTGACTTTCTCAATTCACCTCTACAGGTGACAGCCTAAGTCTTCATTTTTGCAGTATAGAAACAGTTCTTGACTCTGAGTTAATAACTCTGGGCTCTAATTGTGGCTCCAACACTAACCAGCTAAGTGACCTTGAGAAAACCACTTTGTGTCTTTTTTGCCTTTGTTTCTTCATCTGTGAAATGAGCACATGGAGATGGAGTAGGGAAACTCAATCGTTTTTCACCACAGAGCCCTTTTATCCTGTGGAACCTTGCCATCGCTGAGGGATCTGTCTCAAAAGCTTTGTAGACACCACATTTATAAATACCCAGTGTGGCATATAGTTTTTATCACTAAATGCAAGAGGTATAGCAGGAAGATTCATATGACCTCTTCGTAGCCTTAATGATTCTGCAATACAGGAGGAAGTCATTTACAAAGTCATTAAAACAAATACTGTGGATAAAATAAACTCTAGATTGCATTATGTTATATTATCATTGTGGTAACACTGACAGTGCATTTTCTTTCCTCTGTGTGAAGCACAGGTGTGGCTCTTTTTTTTTTTTAATCATTTCACAACGTCTCCTGGGTAAGTGACTTTGAATAGAGAGCAACAAGGGCTTGTGCAGTGCAGGTATCATTGGTTGCTAAGCTTTGTAGTGTGCACTGTGCAGTGTGTGTCTCTGTGAAATAACAGATCCCAGAATGGACCTGCCTGGTGATCCTCCTATGTAGAAACTGTATGTGCCAAGTCTGGCTGTCATGAGCCTCTGCTAGATCACATGTATTCAAAGATTTAGTCTCTCAAACCATATTTCTTAAGTAATAATCCCTTTCTCCAGTTGTATTTGGGAAAGACATACCGGGGTGCCAAAAAAATGTATGTACATGACTTGTATTCATCTTTTGTTATCAGTATATATATATACATTTAAAGATTTTTATTGGGGAATTGGGGGAAGGGGAACAGACAAGTTGCTGTCCTTTTGTTCTTCAGTCTAGCTGTGGAGGACGTTGCCTCACTGCCTCATATGTGGGATCTGAACCAGGGCCCTCTGGCGTCCCAAGCCAGCTCTTAACCATCGCGCCACTTGGCCGGCCTCAGTATATATTGCATATT